AATGTTAGATTTATGCCCCGTTGGCAAAACATGCACACTGAACGGTTTTTCCCTTTGGCAAAATGGGGATATTAGCCCTTTCTTTGGACTACTGTAAGAATCAAATGAGACAATCTTTTGTAAGAGCTTTGCAAATTGTGCAATGCTATAAATACATGAGGGCTCTTTTTCGAATGTACATATGCGTGGATTTGCAAGGTGTTAGTCATGAAGGCCATATATGATCTTCCAGTCTGTTGGCCCATTCATTCATGTATTTGTTGAGTTCATGAACTAAGGGCCTGTCCTAGGTGCTGGAGATACCAAGGTAAGGCAGACATGATCTCTAACATCAAGAGCAATCTAGATGCCTGAACATTCTAGTCATCTTCATCTCTGTGGGGTTTTTTTGGTTTTTTTTAGCTGCTCTTAGAGTATAATCACATTATTTTAAAAGTAACTCACAGCTCCTTTCTAACATCACTTGGCTCTTGAGTTGTAGTGAACGTGAGACATTTTTTAACCAGAAAAACAGCTTTGCTCATCAGGCACTGATTTTCATTTTTAAAATATACTAGTATTTTAGGACTTACACATTCATTTTTAATTGAAAGCACAAAATCCCAAAAAGGTAGAGAAGTGACTTCTGCTTAGTTTGACCTGTATTTACTTATTCATGAGTTCATAGGTGTGATGCTAATAGATGATCAATCCCCTGCAGACGACTAGTGTGCGGGCCCAATGCCATTGAGGTTGAAGTCCAACCCATATGGAAGCTGCTTGTTAAACAGGTAACTAACTATTTACTTTACTTTTTTTTTTTTTTTTAGATATACCTTTATTGATTTCAGAGAGAGGAAAGGAGAAGGAGAGAGATAGAAACATCAATGATGAGAGAGTCATTGATTGAGCCCGCAACCCAGGCATGTGCCCTGACCAGGAATCGAACCCCGATCACCTGGATCCCAGATCGACGCTCAACCGCTGAGCCACGCCCGGCCGGGCAACCTGTGTTTACTGAAAACCATCAGCACTAACACTAGCAAGGTATTTCCCACCACCTTTATCACCTGTTATGATAAAGCAGCTCCGCTGTAAGAGCAACCTTGTTCCCTGGGAGTGTGCTGTAAAATGCTGATCTGATCCTCCCAAGTTTACTGAAAGCGCCAGACATTCTCCCAAGTGAGCAAACACATCTAAGTTTTAGAGTTTAGATTGTGTAAGTTGTATCAACCTCATTCTTTAAGAAGGGAGACTGAGGTCCAGAGAGGGCACTAACTTGTCCAAGATCACATGGCGACTTAGTGAAGAACTGGACCAAGCATATGGCTTTGTAACCTTGTAACGGGGAAGGGTTACTGCTTATTTCTCTACATTGACCTCCTCTTCATAACCTACAGCAGGAAGAGGCACCAAGGTAGAAGCAAATAGCTCTAGAGCCATTTTCTTTTCAATCTCTCTTACCTTAAAATCATCCTTACACAGATAATCCTTAAACAACGGGCAGGAAAGCATGGCTTCCACATAGAGTCTGGTGGCCAATTTGCTTCCACCAACTGTCCCGTTGATTCCTTCTGTAGCAATGCGCACCTGAGAGAGATGGTGAGAGAAAGGGAATGCAGTGTAAATCTTCCCAGGGTAGAACAGGTGCAGGTGTGTCAATGAGTTGAACAGGAGATGCAGAGACACTGCTGTGGACACCAAAGTATTACCACACAAAGATACTTGTCGTTTTCTAAAGTGGCACTGCCCACAGTTGGAATGAGGTACTCAGCTACTGTGCTGAAGAAGAGCATGAAAGGAATGAAACTATTGGAAAGCCCCACTTGCTATGGAGCTCAAGTTGTCCAGTGGCCAAAGAACCACATTTTGAGTTTAATCCGGGTCAACAGATCTAGAATCAAAATTCAGCTTTGCCACTTACTTGCAAAGTGCCCGCAGAAAATTAATTTACTTCTTTGAACCTTAATTTCTTCATCTTGATAAAACAGTGATAAAAGAGAACCAACAAAGAAAACTGTTGCTGGGGAGACATTACCCAAGTCCTAAAACAGAGAACATACCTGAGGGCTGGGAACGGTTTGGGGAAAGCCCACCATTGCAGACCCACCCACTAAAATACCAAGTTCCAGGAGGAGTATGTGTCCGCTCTGTTCACTGTTGCATAAGCAGTGCCTAGAACAGCACCTGCCTCATAGTAGGTGTTCACTATGTATCTGTTGAACAAATGAATGTGTATCCACATCTGAGGCTCTGTGGCTTCTCAAATCTGTATTCTCTTTGAAATGCTTCACTGGTTAGGGGACTAATATTAGAGACTGGATTAAGTCCCCTACCCTAAGAGGCAATGTTCCGGGGACCCTGCAAAGTTCGTTGTTTTGGTGCTACAAAATCCTTGGGTGAGTTTGAAGATGGATCATCTTTAAAGGGAGCTAAGCTCTCTAGAGGAAAGTGCTAGAGAGAAAGTGCACCACTTGTGTCATGATATTCTCTGGAAAGAGAGGTGATTTAAAGTCCTATATTGTTACTACTATCTATGTAACAATGACACCTCCCAATACATTAGAATTTGAAAAAATTTAAAGGCTCCCCTTTTTCAGAGCCCAGAGAAGATACTTCATTGGCTGCCACACTTGATTCTTTTAGGGCATGGATATAAATGGGATTCATTTCACAAGCCCATGCCAGCTCACTGGTAATGGCTCTGCAGAGTTCCATGCTGAGCATTCTGGATCACATCCAGACTCCCTGAGAAAGAGCACTGCAGTCTAATGAAGCCTGTTCTTGGCATGGAAGAAGAAAGTTGGAAGTATATGTCATCTCTGCTGTACAGACTACAATATCTATTACCAACTGATATATACACATTTTTTCCAATTTAACAAAGTTCTTTATTAATTAGGCTTTATTTCAAAATTGAGATAACTATAGGTATTACTAATAGTAATACAAATAATACATTTTTGCTACCTGTTATTTTAATAAACTTATGCAAAGGGTAGAGATCATTAAAAATGAATGTCCATTTCTCTGTATGTCTAACAATATTGATGGGTCAATGTTTAAAGCTTATCTTTACTATAAGTAATATTAACTATCTACTCTCCCACTAGTCCTGAAAGTTCCCTCTAAAGCATGTTCAGAAAGAATTTTTTGGTTAGGTGTTTCAACTTACATATTTTTAAGGAATTACAAGGAAAAACAGAGCTGAACCAGTATAAGGGTCAGGAACTCTGCCCTAAAACTTTGACTGTGACAGAAATGATGAAGAGGTACATACTTCTACATAACTGTCTTTTGGGTAGATCAGTAGACTCTTTCCTATGTTATTTTAATCTCAGAACCCAAATAAAACAAGCACATCCACTCCCTATAGAGTTGAGGCAGAGCAATTTCTAAACTCATCCACTAAATTTTCAATGTCTGGGATTCTTCAACAGAAACCTTCAAAGTAGCTCCTCGGTGAGGAAAGCCTTAAACCTCAGAGATGAAGAGCAGTTGTTAGCACTTACTGAGCACCTACTATAACACAGAAACTTTATATTATAGTCCTGAAAGGTAGCTGTCATAATTCCCATTCAACAGAAAAGGAATCTGAAGCTCAGAGAAGTCAAGTAATTTGACAAAGGGCACAAGTTGGCAGGTGAAGGTCTGGGATTCGAAACCAGATCTTATTGGCTCTAAATCTCGTAATTTTTTTTTTTAATCCTCACCCAGGGATACTTTTTCTATTGACTTTTTAGAGAGCAGAGGACAGAAACATCAATGTGAGGCACATCGATTGGTTGCCTCCCACATGCGCCCCAACCTCGAGCCTGCAACCGAGGTACATGCCCTTGACTGGGAATTGAACCTGCGACCCTTCTGTCCAAGGGCTGACACTTCAATCACTCAGCCAAACCGGCCAGGGCCAAATTTCGTAATTTTTCCTTTCCAAAGCTTCCAAGGCATTCCCTTAAGTATCTTCAGGGAATAATGAATGTATAGCAATAGGAACAAGAAGCTTTCTTCCTTAAGCTTCCAGAATTTTCAAGTTCTCCTCTTTCCCTACCTAAATGCCAATATTCTGAAAATTTCCTGCCAGCAGAAAACTCTCAGTCAACTGGACATGTTTCATTGAAACCTAAGAATTTAGACCTAAGATCTCGGCAGGTACTGCCACCTTGTGGTTAGGAACCCTCACTGCTAGCTCCCCTTAGGTTGAGCCAAGAATAAAAATCTGCCCCTGAACCAACGAAAGGGATTGATTTCATATTTTGTACATTCAGGTTTACTGTGAGAATATCCATCTTTTAAGATGATCGCTAAGTAGAGATGGTGATAAATGTATTAATTCCACAAATGTTTACTAAGTTTTTTTTACCAGGAACTGTACTAGGAATTAGGGATACAGTGGTTGAAAAAAAATAATTTCTTGCCCTGTTAGAGCTTATAGACAGACTAAAGGTCACAGATATTAAGATAAAAGTTACAAACTGACAAATGCTATAAAAATAACTACAAGATGCTATAAGAGAGTATATTTGGAAAAATGAAACTGATGAAGGTCAAGAAAGATCTCTCTGAGAAGTGAAGACTGAGGGAAAATTAGACAGGAGAAACCAAGTGGGTATGAGAGTTTCTTGAAGGCTTTTCTTGTAAAAGGGACCAAAGACATAAAAAGACTTCATGGGCTCCAAGAAACTAAGTAAAGAATGGTATCAGGTAAGTGGAAAAGGTAAGGGGCCAAATCATGGAGGAACCTAAGGGCATGTTAAGGATTTGGGTTTTATTCTAAATGCACTAGATAGGTGCTGAAAGATTTTGAGGAGGGAATAATATGATTTTATTGACTTTGGGCAATCATTCTGGCAGCTGTGCGCAGAATGGATTAAATGGTGGGCAAGGACAGACAAATGGAGAGTAGTCTGGAAGCTAATGAAATGGACTAGGTAAGAAAGGGTGCGGACTTGGTCTAAGGTGTGGAAGTGGATGACAGAGGGACATTTTAGAGGTACAAATGGCAGGACTGGGTGATGAATGAGGTAAATGATGCTTTCAATCACTGTCTGTTAGGAAACATGGATGTGGAAAATGTCACTGACTGATCAAATGACTGCCAAAGGGAATTAAAACCTGGGACGTGTATGGGAAAGATCAGGCATAAATAGTACAGTGTCATAAACAGAGGGGATTCCAGAGGGAACCTAATTCACTTACTTTTGAGTGTAATTTACACATATATGTATAGTTATGTAATCAATGATATTTTTTTTAAAAAAAAAAAGAAAAACCATCCATAATCCTCTCCTAAGGAAAGTCATAATTAACATTTTGATATCTACTATCCTCTATCTTTATACAAACACACTTGTGGTTTTGTTACAAGCACACATTCATTCCTTTATTCAACATTCTCTAAATATTTATGTCTACTGTGTGCTAACCCCTGTTCTAGCACTAACAATACATCAATTAAGACAAAGTTACTGTCTTCATGAAGCTTACATTCTACAAGGGTCAGAAATAATAAATTAAACAAAGATTATACTTTCAGATAGTAGTGAATTCTTTGAAATTCTATGAGCAGAAGCGGATAGAAAGTGATGAGGCTTACAAAAAGGACCACTTCAGATTAGAGTTCTGAGGAGATAACATCTGAGCAGAGATTTGAAGTGAGGAATGAGCCATGTGAAGATCTAGGGAAAAAGCATTCTAGAGGGAAAGAAAACAGCAAATGTCAGTACCACAAAATGGTGAAGGCCCTGACATGTTCTAGGAAAATTAAGAAGAAACTTGGAATCGCACCTATATGTATAGTTCTGTAAAATGTTTTTCCAGTCACTATATCAGGAACATTTCCCTATGCCAGGGGAAACTGCCTGCTTTTGTATACAGTTTTGTTGGAACACAGGCATACCTCATCCTTTTATATATTGTCTACAGATGTTTTCATGTTAAAATGACATGGTTGAGTAGTTTTAATATTCTTATAAAACACGTTAATAGCTATCTAGTATTCTACTTAAATGTCTAGTAGGAGTTCACTAATTTCTAAGAACTCAGTAAATCCTTCTGTAATGAGCACAGCCTCCAAGTTGAAAGCCAGAGGAGCTCAGTGAAGGATGGGGTGTGGGAGGTGTTACCTTGCCTGTGAGGTGCAGGTGCCGACACAGAGCTGTCTGCCAGGCACAGATCCAATGGGGATCCTCCAGGTCACGGTAGCAGTAATAAAGTAGCACCTCTCCTTCATCACTGCCCTGGCCACTGTCAAAGAAAACCACAGGGAAAGAGCATAAGCCACAACTCATAAAGTATATACCCAGGCAGTGTTGGAGGGAAGGCCTAGACGAAGCAATTCATGCCTTCTTCTCTATTTTAGAGCCTATTTCCCTTTCTCTAAACTCCTGTAACAAATGATCTGAACCATACAATTTAACTGACAATTATACAGCCTGTCTCAGATCATCTGCTAATTGTTTCACGCCCTTTTCTCTGTTTCTCTAACTAGAATGCATATTCCCTGAAGTGGAGGACCATACAGAAATGAAAAGGCCACATTTATATAGCACTTTATAGTTCACAAGTGCTTTTACCATCATTTTATATAATTCATATAGCAATACTGTGCGGGTAGGCTGGGCAGATATTATTATTCCAATTTTAAAAGTGAGGAAATGAAGGCACAACAAATTTTAGGGACTAGCTCAAGTCTGATTCCAAGTTCAATTCTCTTTCTTCCTCCTTTTCTTTCTGATAAACAATGTGAATTTGGCACTAAATACTAGTCATAAATGTATATCAAATTTGGATATTTTCTATTCAACAAATAGTTCAGGTATTGCTTAAAATCAGAAATCTGTGCTCTAGAATTCTGTAGTATGATTTGCTAAGTTTTTCAAAGGCAGACTCAAAACCTCTAATCCTATGCCTCGGTTCTAAAAGTTAACATCCTTTATTCAGCTCAGAAAACCACATTTGGTAACAAAAAACCTTTTTGAAGTTCTGGCATTCTTCAGGGTAGAGGAATCATTAACATTTCTAGGCCTTCCAATTTCTCTTTGAAAATAATACAGTTTTCTACTCTTTACTTCTCCCTAAAGAAAAGGTGCAGTATGGCTTTCAAAAAACCTGGCGACACTGCTAGCTGTGTGGGTCTATGCTACTGCATAGGCTATAATCTCCTATTACACGGGCTATCGGCCTAGCTTAGGCCCACAGAGAAATTCTGTGCCTTTAGGATCTTGACATTTTAGTGAATGGGTAGTGATATCTCACTGTGGCTGGAAAAACATTTTTTAAATTAAACCAAAAGTACACAATGAAATTCTTACCTTATCAGCTCATCAGGGCTAAAGCAACTAACATCAGGGAGCCATGTAGACACTTCATGGTTTGGAGTAAGGTACTCTTTTAGGGAGTTCCTTTTGTCGGCAGAGTTAAGACTCTTTGAGGTGCTCAATGTCACAGCCAGCTGCTTTAAAATAGAAGCAGTCTGGTGGCAAATCTCATCAGCATGTTGTGTTGCCACATGTTTGTGGATGCTGGTCTGGTCCGTGAACAGCTGCTGACAGCATTTCCACCATAGTTCTTTACATTTATAAGAAGGTGCTGGAACTTCTTTGGTTTTGACAAAAAGGGCAAATGCCTGCAATTATATTTCAAATTGTCACTGTTAAATAGCCTTAGGTTTAAGACTAATGGGAGCCTCAGTGAAATTCCTTCTATTATTTTTCCACAAGGGTTTCTAGTTTTATGTCCTACTCTTCAGTACAAGAACATAGGAGAATAACAGCTTTACTAGTAAGCATTATACCAGCTCAGGTGCCTTAGCTAGCAGCTGCCCTACTGCCTGTCTATTCTCTCTGACTAGGTCTCCCAGGTTCCTGGGATCCCTCCCATAACCCTAGGTGGGGAAAGGAATCCATCCCACCTGTCTGGGATCTGTACCCCATCAAACATGTTCAGCGCCACAATTTGCCTAAGATTCTCCTTTGCCTGGCACTGAGTGAAGATAAACGGTAATGGTCCTGACTAGACCTTACCCTGAGCACAGCAGCACTCTACTGTCTCACTATCTCTCCACTCCCTGGAGGACAACCTTGATGAGCTACTTCTGGATATACCTGCATTAACTATACACTATACACACATGATCCCGAAACGTCAACAGCAATTTTACCTTTTTCTTTGCAAATGAGTATTTCTTCTTTGTATTGACATCTAGCTCTGCTTTGAGGCTGCTACTGGGATTGGTAAGACTTGTGTCTTTCAAATCCAAGTCTGAAAATCCTAAAACACAGGCCTCCAGATCATCTCCTTGGTCTGGTGAAATAGAAGGCATTTGGTTTGGTTGCAGCAATGGGACAGATTCCTTTTAGTTAACTAGGAAACAACAAGGGAGAAACAACAATGTCCACGTCTTTGATTACTACTTGAAGTAAACTTGAAGCTAATCAATCATGCAAATGAGCATGGGCCCAGTAGCCCAAGCTATCCATTCATTCACTCATTCATTCAATAAATAGTATTTATTTAGCAGACACTGTTCTAGATATTGGGGATAGAAAAGTGAATGAAACAGAAAAAGGCTCCGTTTTCTTAGAGTTTACATTCCAATGGAGAGAGAAGGTAAGCAAATAATTTGATTTTTTTTTAAGTCAGATGGTAAAAGAGGTTATGAAGACAAACAGAGTAAGGAGTCAGAGTGATGGAGGGGCCCTTTAAAACACAGAGGGTAGGTAAAGTCTGAGGCAGTAGCATTTGAGCTAAGACCTGAATTAGAGGGCAAGTCACACAAACATTTAAGCTAAGTGATACCAAAAAAGCACGGGGTACAACCACACTGTGTACTAGTAACTTTAGTTATAAACACTTTGTTCTTTTTTGTCCCCTAAATTTTTGAGCAATGCAAATTCCCTTTCTTAGAAGAAATAAATACCAAGAAAGCCCCATTTTAGTGAGCCAGAAGAAACACACAAATTGCTACTGTGGCCAAATCTGGTCAAAATGGACACAATACAACCAACATACTGCATTCTTTCTTTTATAAAGCAAATATTGCAGGTGACAAAGAGGCAACATGAAACAGAAAGAGGGAACATGAAACATCGGGAAAGGTGGGAAAGGAGAAAGGCACTGGCTTTGGATTGTGGTGTAGCTGAGTGCAAATATGTGGAGCTGGGCAAGATATTAAACTCTGAGTTCTAATTCCCTAATTTCTAAAATGAGATTGAAAAGGAATATGTAAAGTGTCTGGCAAGTCCTTAATTCCCCTACCACTCGAGGCTCATCTCAAAAACACTCTCCCTCACGTGTCCTACTCTGGCCACAATGGACTTCGCCTAGTTCCACAAATGACCCATGCCCTCCCCTGTCTCACAGTCTCCACCCATACCTTACCCACCACCTCAAAATGACCTCCCCTCACTCTAAATCCTTTTCAGGTCTCACTTTAATGTAGATCTATTCTTAACTATTCTATGTGGAGACTGCTATGTGCCTGGCACATAGAAGTGTGCTGCAGATGCAGGTCTTATTGAAACAGTTAACGCCCTTGCTCTTTTGAAGCTCATATTCTAGTAAGAGAAGAGAGACACTAAATATGTAAACAAATTTAAAAACATGAAAATATCAGTGATAAAGGCTGCTGCTTCTCAATTTCCTTTGCTAGGGATCTTCCTTACCATCTGTCACAACCTTTAAATGTTGAATTGCTTTATCTACACTCACCCTCTAAGTGATCTCATCTAGTCCCAAGGACTTAAAAACTAAATTCCCTCAGAATCACTGTGCAAGGGGGGATAATATATGTGAAATTAGATTGGCCTTTAGTTGGGAATTGCTGAAGTTGGTTGATAAAGTACATGGGAATTCATTACATAATTTTCTCGACTTGTATAAATATTTGAAGCTTCCATGAAAAAAGCAAAAAGGTAAGCAATCACACATAAAGGGAAATTTATGTTTGAAATACTATACACTAACTGATTCCAAGTTTATATCTCCAGAGTGGGCCTCTCTCCGGAACTCCAAATTCACATAACCAACTGTCTACTGGATAACTTCAGCCGGAAGGCTAACAGGCTGATCAAGTGCAACCGTTCAAAATCAAACTCTTGCTCTTCCACAGTCTTCTGCACCTGTGTTAACGACATTTCTAGTCTTCCTGTTACTCAGAGAAAAAACTTGGGGCTGCTTCTTTCACGCTATCACCCAGCCCTTCAGAATATCCTATCAACTTTCCTTTTGAAATACAATCAGATCAGATCACTTTACACCACCTTTGCAACCAGCCGCCTTCAAGTCACCATCATTTCTTGACCGAATTACTGAAGGAGACTAATTGGCCTCCTCATGGAAGAGCCAGAGAGGGTAACTATTAAAAAATTAAGTCAGCTCAGTCTCCAAAGGCTTCTCAACTTAAAATCCAAAGTCCTTACAAAGCCCTTCCCACCACCTCTCTAATCTCCTCTTGTGTTGCGGTCCCTTTGCTCACTACCTTTGAGGCTTGCCCATCCCTGAATGGGTCGCCAGCACCAAGAAAGCAGGGGTTTTTCTTTTGTGCACCTCTGCATCCTCAGCATCTAGAACACTGCCTGGCACACACGAGGTGATAAATATTAGTAAACACAGTATTTGTTCAATGAAATAAAACAGTGATTGGGTAGCCAGAGAAGGCTTCATTAAGGACCTGATGCTTGAGCTGAGGCCTAAATGACAAGCAGCCATCCACGAAGATTCAGCAGCAGAGCTCTACAGGCAAAGGAAACAGGGAGTATCTTTCCTAAAGTGGGAGCAAGCTTCACGTACTGGATGCACAGGAAGAAAGTCAGAGTGGCTGGAGCACAGGGACGAGAGGGCAGAGCCCTGGAGGTGAGGGGCTGGAGTTCACAGCGCCAAGGCACAGGAGAGTTGTAAACAAACGAGTGACGTGGTCTGATTCTAGATGCGTTTTGAAAGTAGAGCCGACAGGGTTTACTGACCCATTGTTTACGTAGGAAGTGAAGGAAAAGGAGGACCCAAAATCCGACTCCTATCTACTATTTTTGGATTAAGCAATCGGATGAATGGTGGGTGCCATTTACGGAAATGGCGCGCCGGCCAGACCCAATCTCTTCGCCCAGCTTTCCTGAGGAGGCAAAGGCCCGGAAGTGGCAGTTAGAGGAGCACGTACCTGCCTGTCCCGATCCTCTCTCAGATCTTTTTTCATCAAAGAATCTCCGCCTAGAATTTAACGCCGCTCACCGCCCCCGAACCTGCAGGCCCCGCCTGGAGTTCACGCCGGTACGAACGCTGGAGACGTCACCCCGCTCCGGAAGTCCTCGGGGCTATCAGCGAAAGGCACGCTGGGAAAAGTGGAGCGCCCCCTGAGGGAGGGTCTGAAGTGAGGCTGGGACTGCAGCGTCCCTCCTAGGCCGCCCGCCTCCCAGCGTGGCTCTCAGCCCCGGGCTTCGGCCGGCTGAAGAGGCGGCGCTACCTACTTGGCCCCGGAAGGACTTGAAGCAAACGGCGGGCGAGGGAAGCTGCTGAGAGGCGGAGGAAGCCCGAGGGGGCGGTTGCGCGCGGACCTGAAGCCCGTGGCCTGG